TTTTTTTTTTTTTTGCAATTATTGAACTTTACAATTATTTTTCTTCCATTTTTGGACTGTTGTAAAAGTAAATTTTGTCACATAAAAATACATTTTTAAATTAATATAAACTGTTTCTTTTACTCTAGCAGCTGTTTAGAAGAATAATCATAAAATAGCTAAATAAAAACACACAAATTTAATAAAACTTGTATGAATAATAATCTGTACTCAAAATATAATAATATATAAAACATTGTTATGTATAATTCGAACAATATATCTTATAACTATTCATTTATATTATAAATGAAATAAAATTTCGTTATTTTTTATTGAAACATCTATTGCAATTAACATTTATTTTAAAGAAAATAATAATTATTATATTAATATAATTTATAGTCAGGGCCGTCGAGAGGAAGGAGCTGGGAATTTTCTCGGGTTCCGTACAAGCTCACGACGGTCCTGTATACAATAGCTATGTACTGTATACTGTACATAAACTGTGTTGTAAATATAGGCTACAGTATATATTTCTCATGAGAAAAAAGCAACGAAGCTTTTTAAATCTTTCAGTTGTAATTTTATTTAAAATATAAAATAATCTAATTATATAAAATCAGTGTTATGTTTACATTTTCTTGCTAGAATCGTATTCAAATTTTATTTTTATCATTTTTTAAATATGGTTTTAAAAAATTTTAAAAACCATATTTTAAAAATTGTCAGATAAAGTAAATTCCATTGAAGTAAAAGGTAATAATGTACAGTACCTGTTTTCTTTCTGTCTGGATAGAAATTTCTTGCCTAAATTGCCTTGTACAATATTGTAGTTTAAACGATTTTCAAGTCTTTATGACTCATTATAAATTTTGACTTTTAAATTTTTTTATTTATTTAAAAAATTAAGCGGAATTAGGAACTTTTTCATTTTAAATGTAACTTCTCTGTAAGTTAGATGAAATTATATATATATATATATAATTAAATAAATTAATTAAAATAACTTTAAATTGATTTATTAAAGTCTTTAACATGTCTAAAATGCTCTAAGTGTGTTAATATATAATTAATTTTAATGATAAAGTCATATTAAAGAGCCATAAAATATCTATAATTCTTTTTTAATTTTATAAAATTTAAAAAATAAAAAAGTAATAATAATAATTTTCTTTAAAATTCAACAATTTTAATGTATAATTTATAAATATTCTAAGAATATAAATTACAAAATTCTAAGGCGTTGTATAAATGTAAGATTTTCAGAAATTTTTAAATCTCTCCCTCTCTTTATACATAATACAACGTCTGTCTGTATGTCTGTCTATTCTTTATACATTTATAAACTCTTGGACCGATTTACACCAAATTTTTCATAGTTATTCTCGAAGATCCTACTGAAAATATGGCTACCATAAAACCTGGACACCCCACCCTTCCCCTGATTTCACCCCTTGACACTTCGTGATAAACATAACAATTCTAGGCTAAAATAACCAAACTTTCAATGTAGTTTTCATTTTAATGTTTACACTTATTACTTTTCGTTCGGGCATATCTTCTAGTTATACATAAATATAACACGAAATTCTATACTCCTATATTTTTTTTACACGAAGAGAATTAGTGCCTTATAATTTAGATCATATGCTTTATTAAATACCTGTAAATAATGTATATATACAACGTTATTTCGAATTTAAGACGTTATTTCGCATGTTTCTTAACTTAAAATCGGGGTTACGTCTTAATTTCTAGATGCTTTTTTAAATTCTAAATATCACTAAAGTCTATAATTTAATTTATATTTTCTATTATTATAAAAGTTTTTACTTTATAAGAATTATTTTAAACTATATTTACTTCGAATTATTCACCAATTTTGTTTTTT